CATACATTATAGTCTGCACATGGTTTGGGAAGTCACCTAGTGAGAAAATATAAATACCGTGTTACATTATTATTATTTTGGCTAAAAGCGAAATGAAAACATAAATACTACAATTACAAACATAACTAAATGAGATCAAATAGGAACATATAAAATCGGTTTAGCGGAGGCGCCTTATACAAATAATTTCCGTAGCTGGGATCTGTTGTTACTATATCATTCAGTTATTTTCAAAGTAGCAATTGATGGGGTTCGTTCCTTATTTTCGTTAACACTTTTTCATTGCCAACGAGGCACGATTTAATAATGTATCAAGGAAAAAACAAGTAATGGATAAAAATGTACATGACTACACATCCCAACTAAATTAATAATAATGGATAAAAATGGTGACATACATGAACAACCATAAGTCATAGTGCCAACATCATAACCATTAATTCATCAATTATAATGCAATTAGTTTTGATATTTTTATGTGTAAAATTGAAAAAACATATACAAATGTTATTTATTTTAATATCTTTTAAGTGTAAATATCTCGTTATATCATAATTAAGTTTTATGTTTTTGTTAAGCTTTAAAAAATGATCAAAATATTAAGTCTTTACATTTTTTTTTGCTTAAATTTATTTTGTATTTTACTTATATTTTACTTATGTTTTGCTTAGAAAACATAAGTAAAAAACTGTTAAAATCGAAGTAAAAAAATATGGACTATATACTTTGTTACTAAAGAAAAATAAACTATAATTTGCTTATATGATTTATCATGATCAACTAATGTTTTGCTTACATTATATATATGTCATGACATTACCTTATTAATTGTTATTAATTTTGAATTATTATGCATCAAAGCTACAATTAAAATAAATAAATATAGGTTAAAATATTTTAAATCTCAAATAGTTTTTAATGTTAATAATAATTGGTTTGCTTTCTAGATGGAGAGAGAACTCCCTAATTATATACTCCATGCAGTATTATCTAATTATAACTTGCTCATACTCAAACCATGCAATATTAACTAATTATTATTGTAGTAATTTACACATGAATTATTGTAGTATTTTCATATCAAGATTTTCAAAATGGTGAGAATCCGGTTGCTCGTTCACGTTTCGACGATGTTGAACCATCAGAAGACTCATAGAAAAAGATTTGTTTTGCACTCTTGCTCTTAATCATGGTTTAATGATATTGTTTTAGTCTGACCGGTGGCTCGATATGCAAAACCAAAAAAAGATCATAGCTACTCTCAAAAAGATTAAACTCAAGATCATCTTCCAATCACATTTGTTATTTGGATCGTCATGGTCATCACGGTCAAATTAACTAGATCTGTTATTGTCACAAACTACTAGTATGTATAGTGAGTTTTACTTTTTCTTTTTCGAGACATCTGCTATGTATAGTGAGTTTATAATTCAAAGAGATAGGCTAAATAATAAACAAATTATTATAAGCAACAAAAAAAACTCAATTCATAATATTACTTGCTCATACTCAAACTATTCAATATTATCCAATTATTATCGTAGTAATTTACTCCCAAATTTTGAAAATTGGAGTACATAAAAGACAAATTTAAATAGTTGGTGTATTATTTGGRTAGCCAAAAAATTTATGTATTTTTTAAGTAAATTAAATTAAATTCTAATATTTTTCAGAAATTTTTCCGTTCAAAGTTTGACACCGTTTATCATACAAAATTTGAAAATCTGAGTAGATAAAAAATAATCAGTAATACTTCATGTAATATTCAGGTAGACAAAATAGATGGAGTATGTTTTAAGTAAATTAAATTAAGTTTATGGTGGTGGTTTCCATTCCTTTAAAAGCCCAAACAAGCAGGAGGATATTCTCACGTCACAAACGCACATGACCTTTCATTATTGTTGGAATAAAATCTCCATAAGGCATATCAGTGACTCTTTTCACCATATTTACTCCACTTGACTTAGCTCTCTCAAGCATAAAAATAAAATGAAGCCACTGCTAATTATATGTTGCATAATTACATCAGAAAATATCATAATTTAGATAATAAGCACCATTTTATGGTTTTCTTCTTTGCCTAGAATTGAATTAGGATATGAACATATCGACAATCTGGGTTCCTGCCAAAACGTATGGTACCTTTTCTCGTAAATATCGGTTATTAAAATGTTATCGTTATGGATATATAAAAAAAGTATATCTTGTTTACCTTGAGATGATCAAAACTTCTTGGGATGGTTAAACATCATAGGTTGATGTGAAGAATGAGAAGGATGCTCAACCAAATTCCATTCACCAATTGAGTTTTTATCCTTTTTCTCCACCATATAGCTCGGATCTCGATTTGGTACATTATAATAGCTATTGTTCCACTACAAGTCAGATAAAGGTATGATCAGTAGTACTCTTTTATCCAAATGTTACTACTGCTTTTGAAGTCTTTTTAGACAAATCCATAACTTTAGTGGAACCAAAAGTCATACCGATGTTGGCTGAATATGAGAGCTGTTCAGCAAGGTGCTGGAACTGGCAGAGTTCAAATTCCACACGGATTTGTTCGGCTCGTGTCTTTGCTTGTTTGAACTGTAATAAATGTTAGAGATGTAAGAATGAACTATGAAGTGTCTAAATTCACACATACACCACCTG